AACCTGAGTCTGATCCTGCAAACTCACTTTTTAAAGACAATGGATATGGCTGTGTTTGCTCATAATTAGGGGAGGAAGAAGAATTTTTGAAGCTCACTGGCCAGTCGGCCAAGCCTCTTTTGGCAAGTTCCAAACCAGTACCCGAAGAACAATAGTACTGCTTTACACACATAACACACCACACACACATACACATATACACACACATGCGTAACACACATTCCACACACCACATACACATACTGCACACAGAGACACAGACCACACACATAACTCACCACACACACACACACACACACACAGGCATATACACATACCACTTATGCCACACATTCACCACACATACAGACACAGACACAGACACACACACACACACACACACACACATACCCCACAGTATATGTAACAAATCCCTGACCCTGTGTTTGCACAGAGTATGCTTACAGATACATCTTATGCTTTCTGCATGTATACCTTGGGGAAAAATAAGGATTTCATGCTCTCCAGACATGCCCACTCCCACACTGGGAACATCAAAGATAGCCCAGTAGTAGCCAATCTTATTGGCTGAAGGTGTGTGAGAGACGTAGTGTTACTTTCTTACCAAGACACTAACTGAGGGACTATCTAACGCCATCGTCCTGGTTAGGGATCCCTTACTGCAAGGCGGCCTGGGTTGATTTACTAGATTAGACACAGTGCTACCTAGCAACCCTTCTGCTTGTCAATAAATAAAGGCATCTCTCTCGTCAGAGCATTTAAAGTCACAGTGACTTTGTGAAGATGATGAGTAAATTCTTTCAGATTTACACGACAAAGCTTATAGATAACCTACCAAGGGGACCCAAGACAATGGCCCAAATGATAACCAATTCAAAGCACCTTCTCTGCTAAGGACTGCGTAACTGCTGTAACCTGAGTTAATGCAGCCTGGAGATGACTCCAGGGCTGTGGTTGGTTGATTTAGTTTTGAGTTTGCTGCGCTATTGTGATTGGGTCTTGTTCTGGAACCCAGGCCTGCCTGGAACTCAGTATGAAGCTCAGTATTCCAGTTTCCTTTCTGTTGCTCTGACAAAATACTCCGATCAAAAGCAACGCAGGGAAGGAACCAGTTTATTCCATTTGCAATTCTAGGTCAAAGTCCATCACTGAGGGAAATCAAGGCAGAACTTGAGAAAGAATGTTGAAGACTGGCCTGATTCCTATTCCACACAGTGTTACCTCCAAACATGGACCTCAGTTCACTGCCAAAAAAGGATGGTGTCAGGAACCATGGAGAAAGGATGCTGAGTGGCCGACAGGTTTATGCTCAGCTATCCTTATAGCGTTTGGGTCTACTTTTCTAAGGAATGGTGCCGCCCACCGTGGGCTAGGCCTTCATACATCAATCAACAATCAAGAAAATCACCCAGACATGCCCACAGGCAATCACTCATGTAAGACTCCCATCCCAGATAATTCTAGGCTGTGTCAAGTTTACAGTTAAAGCTAAGCAGGGCACCCAGATTGGCCTTGACTTTTGAGAGGCAATCTCTGGCCTTTGCCATCCAAGTACTATGATATTAGGGATATATCACCATGTCCAGCTGTCCCTGGAACCATTAATTTCAGTTTCAATGAAAGACACTTTCCCCTTGGCATTTGCTTTGTTTATGTGTTTCTTTGATTTGACCAGATCTACTCTCCCTGGGTTTTAAAGTTTACTCAGATTTAAATGAATTTCAAATGGGACAGGAAAAACCTATATTCACTAAAAAATGAACTTTTAGCCTTGACCCTAGAACTTGAAGAGCTCACAGTGGGATATTTATTAGAAATGATCTAGAAGTTTCTTTGGCTGAGAGGGGTCTTTCGTATGAGAAATGTCACACCTCTGGGAGGTGTAGTCCTCTGAAGGAATAGTGACATGGGAAGGAACCCAGCCAGGCAAGCTCAATCAAACCAACTTAGTTGGGATACACAGATGTGACGGACAGACAGCTGTCTCTGTTCCCATGCAGATGGCAGAGTTGGGGGAGGGGGAGGGGACAGGCTCTGCAGATAGTGAGGGACAGAGGACACTGTTTTGGTCTTTGTTATACTCAGACCAAGAGACCCAGTGTCCTTCCTGGGAACAAGACCCTTTCAGTTGCAATTCATATACAGAGAATGTGTCTATTTAAGGCTTGAACACAGAAATTGTCAGGATGACCTCAAACGGAGGCTGGGAAAAACAAGGTCCTTATATTTGAAAGTTTAAGGTAAATTCTCTATATTTTTATTCCAAGAGGGTTTGTTTTTTCATTTTTAACTAAATACTCCTCCCCCCCGACCCCTGTCATCCCCAACATGACATATTCAAAACATACAGTGACAGCAAGACCGTAGCTGAGCAGTCATGTGCATGCTTAGCAAACACGAGTCTCTGGCAGAAATTCCAGACAACAAATACACAGATGTCAGCTCATAACTCACACAAATGTGAACAAATATGTAACAGGATGTTAGAGCTGGAACTAGGAACAGGGTACTTCATTCTAGGAAAATAGTACATTCAATGTGTATTGGTTAAAACCAACACCATATAGCCATAGCAAGGAATACCACGTACCAGTCCACAGGAACGGCAGAATTTTGTTTACAGTACAAAAGACACCAGAGAGGCGTGGCACTGTGAACGCATACATAGCTGTCAGGTCAAAGGGCATAGCTATGTGTCAGGATTCCATTAGAGGAACATTAAGAGTGTGTGCTTCCGTTATGGTTGTGTGAACACAGTGCTTTCTCCTGAGGGTGACGTGGGTAGGCCTGGAAAGGACAGAGAACTCATATCCCTCTATCTGGTGAGATGTTCGGTTCCACAAGCCTCTGTGGAGGTAGCAACTCTGGATGAACAAAAACTATCGTAGTTAATCCACAGATGAACCACATTTACTTATTAATTAATACTGAGAAAGAATCTCAGGAAGCCTGGGCTGGCTTTTAGTTCCCAAGGGACCTGAGGATGATTATGAATTCCTGATCTCCCTGCCTTCCCTCCATACTGCCAGAGTAGAGGACTCCAGCTGTGCATCATAATGGAGACGTCTGAGTGCTGGCAATCAAACTTAAGATTTTGTGTGTGCTAGGCCAGCACTCTACCAAATGAGTGCATTCCCAGCCATTAATCCAGTCTTTAAATACTAAGTCACTAGTTGAGTCCACTATGTTAAATAACATGACAGTAACAGTCATCTGACCACACAAACTCCCTTCTCTCAGACACCATTCCACAGCCTATACAGCCACTACCCCTAAACCCACATCCAGTATTCTTTGTGCTATGAGAAAATTATGAAATGTTAAAAAAAAGAAATAAATATATTAATTCACATCCCATTTAATTTACTGCTATTCAATCAAAGAAAAATATCAAGAAGTTAGTCTAGGTGTTTCCCTACTCTCATGACATCCCCTTCGGTTATCTCACAGCATTGCAGGGTAGGTCATCTGGGTCTCTGCTGTGGCTCCTACCAGGAAGCACCAGAGAACAAAGCACCACCACGAAAATGATCTATTCATTAGAGAGCCCTTTCTTAAGAACAAAGAAAGTCAGTAGCGTCGCTGCTTAATCTTGGTTGTCAACCGGATGGGACTTAGAATGGCCACGAAACACACTCCACGCTGTATCTATGAAGCTATTTCCAGAAAGTTTTATCTGAGCTGCTGTCCTGGTTTCATGCCTTCTGCTGTGATTTTTTGAAAAGCAGCTCAAAGGAGAGAGGACTTATTTAGATCACAGTCCAGTTCACACTCCATCACATCGAGAAAGTCACAGCAGTGGGAACTTGAAGCAGCAAGTCATACTCATAATCAAGAGCAGAAAGAAAAGGGATACATGCGCATGTAGCTTACTTGTGTTCAGCATACACACACACACACACACACCTGCACCCTCCCCCCAACACACACACAGTACAGTCTCTGATGCCCTGCCTAGGGAATAGAGCCACCCACAGTGGGCAAGGTTCTCCCACATCAAATGATAGAATTAAGACAATCCCCAACAGACATGCCCACCAGCCGACCTCACTGAGACGTTCTTGTCCAGATGATTTTGAATTGTAGCCAGTTGTCAATTAAAATTCATCACAGTCAGTAAAACAAATTAACTATAAGTCACACAATCTCATAGGCTAGGGTCCAGGACTGAATAAAAAGGAGAAAACAAACTGAGCATCAGCATTCATTGTCTCTGCTTCCTGACTCTAGATACAATGTAAGCAGCCGCCTCATACTCTTGCCACCATGACTTTCCTACCATGATGAACTTATACCCTCTAGCTGTGAGCCAAAGTAAACCCTTCCTTAAATTGCCTTCATGGGGCATTTTGTCAGCAGCAGTGGACAAAGTAACTAATACAGTAGTGGATTCAAAGTCATCCTAACTACATAATTTAAAAAAAAAATGTCTAGTGTGGCTAAAAAGTATCTAGGCATCTCTTAAATGGGAATGTTAATATTTAGTGGTAGCAAATGAATGTCTCTTTAGTATGTAGTTTCTCTGGATGTTTTAGTTACTATAATTAAGAAAGGAAAGTATCACAGGCAAAAAAAGGGGAAAGCATATTCTTGAACCGTATCCTATACTAGAACGGGTCATCATCTCCTGCTCTTGACTATATATAATCTACACACACTGGTGGAATAGTTCTCCCAGCTATTATTCTGCCTTCCTATTCACATACATTTACACACCGTGGGCAGGTTTATGGGTTATAATGCTCTCCAAGATCACCCATGGAACAGTTTCCAAGGGAACCAGGAGTTAAAAGATTAATTAAATTAATACTGCCACCTCGGCCACCATGTCCAAAGAAGATGAATAATACCAAAACATCCCGCCTTCTGGTACTTGTGAAACAGCGAGAAAGGCAGCCAAGAGGGCACGCTCAACAAACCTCGCTGAACATCTGCTTGTAACTTGGGGAGGGGAGGGGTCGCCCAAGGAGGGGTTAGCATCCAGTTTCAGCAGCACTTACTCCTCTTTCCTCAGGAGCTCCTCCTCGGATTCTGTCAGGCGTTGCTTGAGCAAGGCAATCATTTCCACCGCCACGTCTACCTGTTTGTTCAGGGCGCGTTCTCGCCTCTGAACTTCTTGCTTCTTCTGAGTCAGCTGCACAAAGGCCGCCCGGACTTCCAACAGTTCGGCGGTTTTCTGGGCCAACTCTTTGGTGAGTTTGTCGATTCTCTTCTCGATGGTCCTGTCCACGGCCTCTACCATGCGATTGAACTTTTCTCGGACGTGAGCCTCGAAAGCAGCTTTGGTGTCTTGGGTGGGGAGTCCAGGGCTGGACCGGGGAGCATCCAGAGAGTCAGCCCGGATGTCCACGGCCGTGTAGGTCTGCACATAGGACACGGGCCTCTCTGCCACCATCTCAAAGGGTTTCGTGTCCTTGGAGTGCCCGTGGGAGATGCTGTACAAGTTAACATAGCTCGGCTTCTGCTTGGTCACCTTTGCGTGGCCCCGAAGCAGTTTTCCCTGCTTCGGGAGGTCGGAGGACCTGAGTAGCTCTGTGTCCTTGAGAGATGGCAGGAGGCTGCATTTTGTCAGGAGGGTCCGCTCCTCGTAGCTGTGACTGAATTCCAGATGGGCCCTCAAGGACGACAAGCTTCTAAATCTGGTGTGGTCTCCACACCTCGGACAGCGGAATGGCAGGCACACAGCGACATTCTCCAGCGAGTCCTGCCAACGGTACCGGCTTTCCTCAAAAGTCGTCTGTTGCATCACTCTGAAAGTCCTGGGAAGGGGAGAAGATCCCAGTTTACTTGTCTGTCAGAAGCTATTGAACTGACACTGACTGACAGTGATGGCTGCCTTTAGGTGGGTTTTATTTGTTTGGGGTTTTTTTTTTTTGGTCTGTTTCGGGTTTTTTTTTTTTAAATCAGCAAAATAATGGGTTTCACTGAGGCAGTTTCAAGTTCACGTTGTTCAACAGGGTCTCCTCCCCAGCGCTCTCCTACATTTCTCTGTCTGCCTTCCTCCCATCCCAATATACACCTGCAGTTTCAAGTCACATGTATTTTGTTACCCTTCCCTTTCTTTCCTTAAGAGATCTGTTTATCCTGCTTTCTTTTTTCATGCCCTATATCACCCAACCAAATGAGCATGCACGCGCTCATATGCGCACGCGCGCGCACACACACACATCTATACAGAAGTTAAATTCTAAGATCCCCGTTTGAGAGGAAGCGTAATACTTGCCTACTGAGTCTCGCTTATTTCATTTAACACAGTGCCTGGTTTCATTCATTGTCCTGCAAATACCGCGCTTTTATTTTTTCTTAACAGCTGATTAAAATTACACTCTCTATTGGCACTATATTTTCTTTATCCACACTTACGCTGATGGGCGGGCATCTAGGCTGTCTCGAATGCTTCGCTACTGTGAACAGTGTAACAATAAATATGGATGAGAAAGTATCTCTGTAGTAGAATACAGAGTCCTTTGGGGATATGCCCAAGAGTGGTATAGCTGGGTCATATGATATTTCTATTTTCAGTCTCAAAAAAAAAAAAACCCTCCGGGCTAATTTCCATAGTGACTACATCAGCTCTGTCTTCTTGGTTTGAAGCAACTATTGCATATATAGTATTTAATGTTGATTTTTATGTTGAAATTAAAACCTAAACCCCTTTGCTAAATGCAACTGCATCTACTCTCTTCTGCATTGTCTGATGCTTCTGCTGTATGGTACTGCTGAGGGGTGGGATACAGATGCTAGGGCCTGCATTTCTAGTCCAGCTCCAGCCTAGCTTAGCAAAGGAGGCTAACGTTCTTATGAAGATGAAAAGCTAGAGCAAGGATATTAAATAATAAGCCCTGGAGAGGAAGAAGAGTGGTTCAGAGACAGAACTCAAGTTTCTTGTCCTTCTGAATTTGGCATGCTACATGGACATGGGTCACACGTGAATGTAAAACGTGGGGAGACTCACATGACGTGTGAGTCAATTGGCAATCTCGTCTCAAGTCTGGGTAAGATGGATCAAACTAAGCACATTAGCTTTAAACACTCCATGAGCTGAAAATTTTTCAACCAAATTTTTTAAAAAAATTTTTAAATAAATGCCATTACTTATTTACTCTGAAAGTGACAGTGTGTGTGTGTGTGTGTGTGTGTGTGTAGGCCTGGAGATAACTTGGGTGAATAGGTTCTCTTCTTCCATCATGTGTGTCCTAGGGATTGAACTCGGGTCATCAAGGCTTGGTGACACACGTCGGCTTGTGTCATCTTGGTCTGTTCATGACGTTAATATTTTTAGTTACCAGTATGATGACGTAAATCAAAGCGTTAACATAACAATAACGCTCTTTTGAAATTTGGAAAGCCAACGTGTCAGATATCATTTGATATAAACAGGGCCGTGGCCAACATCCTACGCTAATAGAATGTTCTGGGTGGATCTGCCTTGCCTCTGATGCTGTTTTTAGCGTGACAACTTCTAGAGTGTTGGAACCAGGCGGGCATCAGCATAACTCCTCCATAAACAGGAAGTTCTTGTTGCCTCTGCATCTTTACCCCCTTTGCCCTAGCAACAGATGACTCTTACAACCCAATTTTGCAAGGGTCCTGGTACTTATTTCCTCCAAGAACGGTAACAAGGGGCACTGGTCCCACAGGGAAGGAGCCCGGATCTTAGGGTGCATCTTAGGGTGAAGCATCTGTGTTACACCCTTATCTTCCTCCAGAAGCTGAGATAGAAATGGTACCTGGTCCGCTAGGCGGGCACATTTTCCAGGTTACTAAAGTCTCTGGACCCCAGCAAAGGGAAACCTTCCTGTGTTGTGCTGGGTTGTTCAATAGGATGCAAATCCTAAAGCAGCCTAGGGCTGAAGACGCTGGCAAGAGGGTGCAGGGATAGGAAAAGAGGATTCTAGAGCGACAGTGAGAAGCGGGGGTGATGTTTGGATGGGGGAGACGAGATATACCACCCCAACCCCAGCAAAAGGCTTTCACCCGCCCAGCGGAAACCTGGGGCACAGATTAGCTAAAAGGGTTTCGATTTCCTGTGTAGAGCTGGGCAGGCTGGGCAGCACCTGCCTGGAAGGGTCCCCGCTTTCTTAGCCCCCGCTCCCGCTGGTGACTGGGTGGATTCGTGCTCACGCGAGTTCGTGCAAGTGGCTGTGGGGAAGCCAATGGTCCTGACTCCTCGCCACTCTGGGCATCCGGGACCACCTCCCCGCGTGTCCGTGGAACAGGGGGGCGCGGGCGCACGGCTCCAGCCGAGCCCACTTACCCGACTTGTTGCTGCCGCTGCAGCCGCCGGTGCTGATGCTGCGGGAGCCGCGCGAGCGGTTTTCAGCAGAGCCGTAAATCAGGCTGAGCCGGGTCGGCTCCCACGCGGGACGAGCGGCGACCGGGGCGGAGCGTGGGGCGGGCGGGACACGGGGGCGGCGCCCGGGGACAAGAGACTGGTGCTCCGGCCCCGGGCAGCCACCCCTGGGTCCACCCCATCTGGGCCCCTCTAGCGGGAGATCATGGGCCTTTCCCTTCAATCTAGCTCAGGATTCCGCTGACATCACGGGGAGGGATGCAGGATGGTCCCTGGGGAGGGAGGCGGGGACACGTGCCAGTCTTGCCCAGCCTAGTCTTGCTACAGGCCCAGGCAAGCGCTCCCAGTTGCAGGGGCGGCGAAAGTGGGCGTGTAGATGGAGCCTAGCTGGCTAGCCCGTGGAAAGAACTGCCAGCAAGAAGGCCCTGGTATTTATTTTAAAACTTCATCCTGGCAACCTGGCAAGGAGGGAACACAGGACTAGCATACTCCAGCCATGGAAGGTAGTGTCCTGGGGCTAAGTTAAACAAAACTAAGGCTAATAAAGGTGTAGAAGTTAAGAAAAACTTAGAAACATGCAGAACCCTGAGGCCTCCTCACTGTGAGGCTGCCCCCAACACTAGTCTCTGTGGAGGAAAGATTTAGCCTCTTGAGAAGTGTCATTTTCTAATTGAAGGAGTTTGGGCTTAGTTGAGTGTGTGTGTGTGTGTGTGTGTTTTATTTGGTTAAACCTTTTAAGGGGCTGGAGAGATGGCTCAGCAGTTCAGAACACATACTGCTCTTGCAGAGGCTCTAACGCGGCTAAAATCAGCTGCTGTCGTCAACGTTCTTTCATTGATATTTATACTAATACTTCGATGAGAGGTGCGAGCCTGTAAAATTCAGGAAAGCGGAACCAGAGAGTCACTCCTGCAAAATGGGTGTTGGCAGCTGCGCCGGGGCTTGCTCTCTTGGAAAATGTTATACTTCGTTGAGGTTACCACCTTAGGTCACTCTCTGAAGTACGTTTATTCCAACTGTTTATTAAGCTAAAAAAGAAAGGAAGGAAGGAAAGAAGGAAGAAAAGAAGGAAGGAAGGAAGAAGGATGGAGGGAGGGAGGGAAGGAAAGAGGGAGAAGGAGGAGAGGAGGAGGAGGAGGAGGAAGAGGAAGAGGGAGGGAGGGAGGGAGGGAGGGAGGGAGAGAGAGAGAGAGAGATCTTAAGCAAACAGGAACCTCATCCTGGCTACCTTTGGGGCAGCATGTGTGATCTGGGAGTGTCAGGGGGACCAAGGTCTAGAGCTCAACCCTCTCCCAACACTGAGGCAACTTATTTGCCTTTCTTGGTCCCGAAATGTCTCCACTTCCGGTGAAAGTGTGGAGACTTTCTAGGGCCCTTTTTCTAACAATGGCATAAACACCAAATTCTTCATTAAACCATATGTTATACTTATCAATACAATTTCCATATTGAGTCATGGAATCATGATAGAATGATTTGATATAGTTTAAAATGAAAGCAAAGAAGGGAAATCTTTTCAGGTGAAAAAGAAAAAAAAAAAAACCTCTTCCCCCAAGAATAACTTTTTTTAAAACTCACCTCTAAGTAGGCCAATGTGACAGATGTCAGTGACAAGCCATGGCTAGTTCACAGCGTACTGAGGGTCAGTGGCTTTAAAATAAAGCCACCTTCCACAACCAGAGCCTCAAGGGAGTAAGGCATGTTGGATTTTTCCAGATGCATATATAGTTCTGGCTACTTTAGTACACACAAAAACGTTGTATTAACATATTCACAATCAAAGAAAAACACTATGACAGAGTTGAAACAAACAAGCAAAAACAGCAAAGCTTAACTTAATATCCTCTCTCATGACTTGTGTCCTTCTGCCTGAATTTTGTCCTTTTAACTGCCCAGTATTGCTCTCTCTTGGGTCCCCTTTTTGGAACACTGAACCCACAGTAAACAAATGTCTTGAGGGACTATGTGAGAGGCTCCAGGAAAAAAGGCAGTCATTTACCTCAAGTGCGTCTTGTTTCCTGGATTCTTCTTGGACGTGATTCCATGTCTCCTGTGACAAACATTTACGTTCAATTTATAAAACATGTTTATTCATGTTGGATGTCTGAACATAGCTATAGAACCCAATCTGGTCCGTGTACTCTGATTCTGGATATGGCTTTCTGCCTTGCTTTCTCTCGTTCCCGGATATAGTCTATAGTACATTCCAGGTTATTGTGTTTAAACTGGTTGGTCCTGAGAAAGCTCTGTTAATATTCAGTATGTGTTTATTGGTGGTTAGTTACATGTTTTTCTGATCATATTTTCTGAACTGTAAGCACCTTCCTTGGATCCTTGCTTTCTTTGTTACATTGTGTAACAAAGAACACTGAAACAGAAAGTAAGGTTGTCTACAGCATCAGACTCAGGTCTGCCCCATTTTTTCAGTGCTTCAGCTTCCAGGTTCAGAAGAGATCTGCACAAGTCAGCTGTAAAGTTGAAATGCTTCCTAAATTTTAGACTATCCTCACACTTATGCTTATGAGGAAGAACAACTGAGTTTATGTCTGAGTTTGGGTTGCTTTGCTTAATATACTTTCTAGATCCATGTGTTTGCCTGCAAGTGCCATGATTTTGTTTCTTTATAGCTGAACAATATCCTGTTAGAAATGTGTGTTCCTGGTGATGTGTCAAACACACAGAAATATGTGTTAGTGATGTATCATGTACAGTGATTTGAAACCCTGGGTGTGGATCCCCAGAAATCTGGAGTTTGACAAACCCTCCTGGTAATTCTGAAGAATCATCATTAATTCTGGAAGTACTAGGGGCTTCCCAAGTCTTGGAAGTTCTGCTTACTTCCCGGGCCTTGTATAACTCCTTTACTTCCTGTGTCTTATGAGTTTCCTTTACTTTCTGTGTCTTACTAGTTTCACCCCTTCCCAGAGGAAGGAGTGCTTAGACAAACAGCTACATGACTGATGTCCTTTTATTGAAGAGTCTAACTTCTCTCCATCCCTCAGGACTTAGCTCAAGTATCCCCTCTTAATGGAGATCTTCTGAAGTGGGAATTTCTGATTTCTTTGGAGACTCGGTTGTGTCATGTGATGTTTTTCTGGAAACTGTCTTATAAGAGGATGTTTCTGTTGAAGCAGACACACGGGAGGATGTTTTGCTGAGAGCAGACACGTGGTGTTTTTCTGGAAGCTGCCTGGAAAGGGGTCATGTGATGTCTTGCTAGGGATGATGCTTGAGAGAACATGTGATCTTTGAAAAGGATATAAATATGACCCAACAGACAGTGGATGTCTCTGTGTGGTATTGGTTCACCTAGCCACTCTTTCCTGATCCTCGTTTGTCATGACTTCATTGAGAGAAATGCACCAAAGAACTTCTGCTGGTGTTCCAACAGCTTCTTGCCGCTTCCACGGACTCAGCTGGCAGAGCCTTGCAGTTTCTTCTTGATCAAACTGTCATTGCTGATTTGTAAATCATGCTTATGAATGGTTCAATCTACCTCTAATGATTTGTCTAAACTGAGCTGCTAATATCCCGACAATGTAGATTAGATGTGCCACCCCCCCAAAAGAAAAGCTACTTTTAAAGAGACCTTTACCCTATTAACCTTTCTTTTCCAGTACCTTTGGTTCACGGTGGGCTAGAAGGGATGTTACAACATTTCAGTACACTCATTAAAGTAGGTTTTAAAAAATATAAGCCTACAGTCTTCTCTGACACCCCGAAGGAAATTAGTTCTCACTAGTAAAAAAATTTTTTTTTTCTTTTTGGCTTTTCGGGACAGGGTTTCTCTGTATAGCCCTGGCTGTCCTGGAACTCACTCTGTAGACCAGGCTGGCCTTGAAGTCAGAAATCCACCTGCCTCTGCCTCCCAAGTGCTTGGATTAAAGGCGTGCGCCACCACCGCCCGGTCTCACTAGTAAAATTAATTACAACAAAATGGTGCTGGTTATCTGTGTGATTGTTCACGTAACATCTCTATCTGCTGTGACATTCTAAACCACATGACTTGGTGTTCCTGTCTCACCAGTGCATTCCCAGTACCCAGCACAGTTCTGTCCCATATAAAAGGCTCAAAAAATATTTCCAGAAGTAGTCAGTGTCAAACACAAGACCTCCCCTTCTGCGTATTACCCGTCATGAGCTTGTGATTAGTGGGTGTCCGGTGGTGGTACGGGGACAGCAAAGCACACATAAGCTATACTCATTTTAAAAGGAAGTAAGAAGTACCTACAGAGCCCCATAGCATACGTGCTACATGGAACATACGTGGGTACTGAACAAATAATGATCACGGCTCACAAATGTTCTGTGTGCTGTGCTGTGCTGTGGCTTAGTCCACTAAGCACTGCTGAATGTGTTCAGTGTTTCATAAACTGGGACCAGTGGAACTGGAGCGGAAGGCACTTGGCAAAGTCACCTTGGAGGAATCAGCTGAAATCTATAAGCATATTGATCTTTCCCTTTAGGAAATCTGACTACTGACATTTGAAAAGCTCTAGTTCTACAAGAATGATCAGAGGCAAAGGTTGGCTGTCCTGAACTGCCTCCAGAAGATGCTGCTAGGCGTGGAGCACGGCTGGCTGGAGGTCACACCCATCGTGAAGATGAGAGATGGAAGGGCGTGGTGCTGTGGAATTCTGACTCTTGAAGCCTGCCGCTCTTCACTGCCACTGAGTCAGGAAAGGAGGGAGATCAGAAATGAGGATAAGTGGACTGGAAATCAGGCAGGGAAAAAGCAGACAGCAAGGGAAAGACAACGGGCCGAAGGAAGGCAGGAAGGCCAGATGCCTGATCCAGAAGATACATTTCACTGGGAGGGGAACTAGCCTTTTGGGTTGAGTTTGTCAAGTCTTTGCTAGAAGACCTGGGAATTGGTGGAGACTTAAGGACCTCCTTTCCACTCTTTACCAAACCCCTGTTACTGACAGTGGTCAGAAGGGCTGTCTTGGAAATACAAGTGTCTTGGAACAGCAAGGCCATCCAAACTTTTTTGCAAATCCATTGCCTAAATACCTTCACCTAAGGTCACCATACAACCGTTGTAAGTATGGCTAAGAATGCTAGATTAAAGAATGCCTAGAAAGAAGTCCAGGTCGGACTCCTGACACTTGCATCATAATCCCTTGGGTGACAAGTACCAAAAATGGCCCCAGAGTCAGAAATGGTCCTACC